GAAATTTTGGTTCAGCCCTGTGCAATGATGGCAGAGACTGGAGACGGAGACTAACCAAGGTTCGATCCCAAACCAACCGTCCACACCAATTTATACCCTCCAGCTTCCCATATTGTCCCGCCAGAGATCACGCCAATCATGCCAATAGCCACACCATCCCCATGCAACTCCTAGCATATCCAATGGTACACCCATCACACCCACAGTCACCAAACGGTGTTCAGCGCGATACATCAAACAATCCCAGAGACCTCATCCTTAACAAATTCAACTACAGGAGTTAATGGATGATTGTCGGAATTTATATGGGGTGACTCTGCTGTTTCTACTCTGTTTTACCAGCTGGCTTTTTTGCTCAACTTTGAATGTATATACTTACAAGCATTTTCATTTGCTATATACTCCTTGATTCGCGGGCTAATTGAACTCATCTTCGTCAAGGAGTGCTTAACCCAAAGCCACCTTTAACTTCCTCGAGCCGCCATGTATGTACCAAAAACCGAATTCTAAGTTTTTTATGGAATATGATAACGAGAATTACTGTTTCAATATGTCATTATTTAGGCAGTCCCCCTTCAGTCATTTAACGTAATAAATTTCCGTTCTTACTTCTTTCTTTACATTAGTGATCAGGCTCGCGGGCGGAGAAGTTCAGTCTGGCTTGTGAGTCAGCATCCTAGCTCCCGCACCTTCGGGGCTCCCACAAACCCACATCAGTGATATTGTTTCGAACCTTATCGTAGCTAAGCTACTCGGAAATACACCTCACCAGCTTGGATGGTCAAACTTGGGAAAATAGAAAGGGATTTGAATCCTCATGACCCCAGCTTACCCAACCCTATATCACAGAAAATATAAGGTCTTTCTGCACCATGTTCAAGAAGAAACCCGTTGTAGGTGTTATCCTAGCCCTCATCCTTATCATCTTTAACTATCCCACGCACCAGGGAATGGTGTTCTTGCTCACCTAAAAAAAACAGGTCAAATCGCTCGCACCTCTCCGCTCTTCTGACCGGCGGAAAGTAGCAGATCAAATTATTCAGCAATTCAAAATTGAAATACCTACACCCACTGCCGCAACGAGCCAAGAGCAACCAGGAGCCCCGCCAAATGAAGCCGCAATTACCCTTACAGCACTCCGCAAATCCCTTCTGCCAGATAATACGATGTCCGCGAGGTTCACGACTACCGCGGGACCGGATCTAACACTTGTCCAGGGCACGATCTATGTCGGTTCACATGCTGACGACGACGAACGAATTCTCTGGGTGCGGCCAGAGCAGGGTGCAGGCACAGATGGACGTCTATATCCTACAGTCTATACACTATGGCGCCACCCGCGTCTCGTCCCTCTACTGCATACCCCAAACTTGGTGATGGACAAACTGTACGGGGGCGCGGATTTAATGACGCCAGGCTTAGCCAACGGGCCACCCTTCCCTGCACGGGCGGTCTGTATCTTTGCATAGACATTGATGGAGCTTGTAATATTCTGAATATCAGACTCTGAGATATAGAGAGAGAATAGAGCATATGAATTCCCGCGGATCAATATTGCGCAGATTGGCAGTTGGCAGGCGATGAAAAGGCTTCATAGAATTGAAAATAATGCTTTTCAGAAGTGGAATATCTGCAAGAAGTTCACTTGCAAATCACTTTTATTTCTCACTTTTTTTTGTACTGTCTAATAAAATAATCAGTGAATATGATTAGAAGAGATCATAGAGAATTGAAAATCACCTTTGAATGTCATGATTTTTGCAGGGGTAGATGGGTAGGAAGGTGAATTCTTACAGCAAAGGTGGATTCTCACAGTTGAAAGATTGGAAAGTTGAAAGAGGTGCAGTAATGTGTTGAGAGAAAACGTGAGATAGTGGAGGTGTACTAGCAAATAGAATTGTATATAATTTAATATGAGAAATTATTGGTTGGTACTTCTGCACTAATAGCTTAATTATTACACTACTGGTATTGCGCTAATTGTGCCTGGTTTCCAAACGAGGGGATAATCTGCCTTGTTGTCTATTTTGCTTCACCTTCTTTGAAATTGCCTTGCTGCGCATTTGTAATGCACTCGTTTATTATTTCCTTATTATTATCTTTGTTTATATCTTCGTCTATTCTTACCTCTTTCCATTATACTCTCGCTACCACTATTTCTATATGTATATATACATGGATGCATGTATTTCGCACATCTTCTTTCTCTTTCTTTTCCTCTTCAGCGATTAGCTACAGCTACAACTACAACTACAACTACAACTTCAACTATACTACTACTATAGTTATTATTACTATTATCTTCCACTACACTACATACTATCTTCTACTATTCACTCTTCACACTGTCATCACCCCTCACAGCATTAGAGCACTGCCTCACTTGTATAATCAAGCATATCCTTCTTTATAAATACTGCCTACTTATCATGTAATTATCAGAGTTATAATAATAATCAATTCAATTATTCTTTTGATATTCAGTAATTGAGTCAATATTCAGACTTTATTCAATTTCAATAGTTATGAGCTCAGATTAGCTATCTATCACTATCTACTCAATTATATTGATATCTATCTATACTGACCTCCTTATCAGCAAAGATATCTATTTAATTATATTTATCTATCTGATCTCACCAACCTCCTCATCAGTGATGATTGTGGCATTATTTATATTTATCCAATCCTTATCAATCTATGTATCAGTGAGAGATAGTTATAAATTATTGATTATCTATTCAATTCTATTTTGATTTTATATTTATATATAACAATCAAGATGTCAGTACAAAATTCCTCATTAAAAATTTCATTTTTGCAGTCAAGATGCCTTAGAAATCAATCAAGCAGAGATATAACATTTTTGAACTAGAAGAACATGGCTATCTTTGAACTTTCTCCATGTCTCATGATAATCTCCGCATAAGTATGATGTTCCGAACTCCAGAGTTAACCAAGACTGGATCTCTTGTGATGGAATTGATTGAACGGGAGATAGTTGCGGTCGCGAGCTTGGCGAAGCCTAGTGTGCCGACGTTCGTGGGTGTATGCGAAATCGATGTGGCTGCGTTGGAGCAGGTTCGGGGGGTGAAGGGACATGCTGTTAGAGGGGTGACCTGGGAAGGGGATGAGCTGTGGAATTGGGGTTCTATAGGAAAACCCGGTCAGCAGTCGCCGGAGCATATTGATGGCTGGATGGGTGATGGTGATACAGTGGAGAAGGGGTTGGAAGAATTGACGATGGAAGATGGGAAGGGTGAGGTTGATATCGAGGGCGAGGGCGAGGAAGAGGGCGGTGTCTCGCTGGATGCGGATGAAGTGAACGAAGACGTCCCGATCCCAGAGCAGCAATTACAGGAACCTACCACCAAAGGTATGATTTTCCTCCTTGACTTTCTGCTATGGAATCCAGTCACAGAAATCTCTAATTGACATCCAGAAATCGATATGGCTTTTCACAACGCTTTCCTCTACTGCCTTTACCAACATAAAATAGACATCCCGTCCACACCTGACCATGGAATGACATTTCCCATCCAAGCATCCTTTTTGATATCCAATCTGATAACGCCATTCCTACCAATACACTCACCACAACAATCGCAATTTTATAATATCAAAAAAACATCTTGGAAGAACGTGAAGAAATTCATCAAGCATCTTGACAAAGAAGGCTTGGTTAAGGCTAAAGACCGCAACGGCGGTGAGACAATAATCTTGGACGCCGATTTTGAGGCCGCCCAACTTGCCAATTTTGTTCCCTATGAGCTTCCCAAAAAGAATAACTCGGACAAAGCTGCTAAATCCGTTTCGTTTGGAGGAGATGACAAAGATCTCACTGTGGGCCAGTCATTCACCGTGAAAACACTGTACCGCCCAAGCGGGAAACTTACACCCACCTTATTTCCGCCGCTATCAAACAAAGATGTGAATAACTACTACACAAGCTCAGATGTTTCAAAACGCCTAAATGATTATCTCACTGCCCAAGACCCTCCCATCATATCCACCACAAATCCACGTATTATATCTCTAAATCCATTCATCAGTAACACCATCCTGTCCTCTTCCCCCGACGACCTCGCAATTCTCAAACGCGGCACCATCCAACGCGACGCGATCCTCCGACGCCTACTTGAAGACCCTTCGCTCTGCGCCCCTTATCACGCCATGCTAAAGCCCGGCCAGACCCTCCACGACGTAAAGCCAAAAGCAGGTCCCGGCCCCAAGGTTACCGTGACCATTGAGCGTCGCACAGGCTCAAAGGTAGTTACCAAGATAACGGGTTTAGAACCGTTCGGTGCCGCACCGCAGTTGTTGGCGGATGAGTTGCAGAAGAAATGTTCGAGTAGTACGAGCGTTTCACAGGCCGTGGGAGCGGCAAATGGAGTGATGAGCGTGTTGGTACAGGGCGATCACCGTAAAGTTGTTGAAGCAGCGCTGGCTAACCGGGGGGTGAAATCTCAATGGATAGAGATTGTCGATAAGTCTCACAAAAAGGGAGGGAAATGAGCGTAGCTCTATTTTTTCCCGCTTCGAAAACTGATACGTATACCTTGTCTGATGATGTACCAGGTGGGAGGATTCTAGCAGTTTGTCAAGATATATCGACTGTTAGTAACGAGCTCAACGAGGATGCATGCTCTTGATTTTGCGATATTTGTTTGAATAAACGGGGAGCTCCCTCCCTTGTGTCCGTAGAAACCTACAAAATAAGGTTTAATGTATCCACAAAGTGGAACGAACCCCTGTGGCTCGTTACACAGAGGTGTGCTGCAGTACGGAGTACGGCGTATTTTCTCTGTATCAGGGCTCCCCTTAACGCCTCCAAGTCGGACCATTACAGAAGGAAGATAATTGGTGCAGCGGTGGACAGCCATTAAATTGTAAAATACATCATGACTGGTCGCTAATTCACGTGAGATCAGAAAATATCCATGGATATAACGAAAGGTTCAGCAGTGATAATTCAACATTTTAATCGTACATACATGGTTACAATAATTTCTATATAGACGGTATATTTATGCATAAAATGGTGCAGCAGCGTGTTTCTTATAAGGTAGTTAGTTATACATAACTATCTGTTCTCAATCTCAAGCGAATCTCTCGAGCCCTTCCGACTTCATAATTTTTTGAAATGCCACACGGAGCGAATTCTGCTTCTCGTTCGTTCCGTGCCCGTGCAGTAATGTTGACCTTTTCCTTACCTAAGACTAAATCTCCTGTGCGATTATTAACAACTGCTATTCAGTGCGAAAATTGTCGGCTGAGAAAGGTGCGATATCTCTGTGTCTGCTACGCGTCTTACGCCGGAATCATATAACATCGAGAAATTCTCGTCGATGGAGTCTACTAATGGAGCTGGTCTAACATCTTTGTCCAGATCAAATGTGACAAAGCCATTCCATGTTCCAGCTGCGGCACACTCGGGATCACTTGCCATGCCGCTTCTTCGAGGCTCACAGAGCGACCTCCTGTTCCTCCTTCTAACCAGTACGTCAGCCATCCAACTACTGCTTTAAGTGGCTTGGGTATTAACCCAGCCAGTGAGAGAAACTTGGGGTTGATCGAAGACCGCCTTTCTGCGGTCGAAAAAAGTATTCATGAGTTGTCGCATCGTTCCGCCGCCACTGCTTCCGTTGCTTCGTTGGGCCATCATTCACCCTCTTTATCAACCCAGTCATCTCTGGAGATAGCGACGGCTGCATTTGAAGGGCAATCGTCCTTTGGTAGTGCGACCCTGCTAGCCAAAAAGGCAGCGGATCTTTCCGTTGCAAGAGTCCCCGGGAGTAAATTCGACGAGAACGTCTATAGAGCCCTCCTGTCCCTAAACAGCAGCCTCGATAAGCATCACCCAGCTCCGCGTTCTTCTGAAACGACGGAAGTTGCAAGCCCTGCAACATCCAATTTGAATCTACCTCCGGTGGCTTTCGTGATTTCTCTCATAAAGAGGATCAAAGGTTTGATAGAAGAATACTTTCCGCCCAAGGGGATTTTGGTTGCGCTGACGTGACATTTAGAGCAACCTCCCTTCTTTCTTGTGCACAATTCTTGGAGAGATTACCTCCAGATCGAAAAACTATGTCAGAAAATTTACTTCCCTTCCGAACCCATCACAGCAGGCTCCATTACCCTTTTGCACGGTTTGCTCTATTTCATCATTCGGGACTATATTCACATTGGGGACACTTCACTTCCTCAACCCGATTGTGCCATATATGCAGACATGTGTGAGAAAAACTTTGTGCAGGGCTTGAAATCCTACGATATATTTGTCAGCCCAACCCTTGAAAAGGTTCAGGCGCTGCTAATTGGGGTAAGGACTTCCATTCACTCCCTGCCTGGCCCGGCTAATTTTTCGCTCGCCAAAAAGGTGATTAAGTGTCAAGAAGAAACAAACCTTCCGCTGTGCTGGACCTATCTGTCCGTGGCATTTGATATGTGTCAAAGTATGGGATACCATAGCAATTCGGAATTGAAAAGTGATCCCTTCCCAGTTAGTGAGGAGAAGCGACATATTTTCTGGAGACTGTATATGGTTGACAAAAACCTCTCTCTTAACCTTGGCCGCACATCACATTTTCAAGACCATGATATCGATTGCGGAATTTTCATGCCGTCAACTGACCCTCATCAACACCCCTGGGATCTCATGACTCATGTGATCATCAAGTTTTCAGCTATTCAGGGTCGAGTATATGACAAACTATATTCCGTTTCGGCATCGCGCTCGCCACCGGAAGAAAAGATGCGTGTCATGGAACAGTTATCTACCGAGTTGATTGAAGTGCGGAATGAACTCCTTGAGGTATGGCTAGCTTACGTTAAATCGTCGGTCTTCCGTGTCTCCCTGCTGACAACAACGTTTATAGATCGATGTCAGCGGTGGCTATTATGCAGAGTCATTACAAGGAATAGCGGCTTGTGCTGAATTTATCACCTATTCAGTTTTGACTGTCATCTACCGTGCCCAGATGTCTCCGAACGCCATGGCTATAAGTTCCAAATGCCTGGAGGCAGCCAAACTAGGTTTACAGAGTCACTTGAAATGCTTTCCTTACTTCCTCGAACGCAAAAGCCACAAGAAAGCTGAATATGTAACCTGGTCAGCATTTCCATCCCAAAGTTTCCGGGTACACAAGATACTAAACTAACCTATCAATATATCCAGGATTCTTCTCTACCCTTCCTTCACACCATTCGTCATCCTCTTCACCCACGCAATTGCCACTGGAGACTTGGAGGAACTTGCCTTACTCCAGGAAACAGTCGGCTCACTCGAACTGGTCAAGGATCTTTCCCGCGGCTCCCAACATCTCTACGAAATATGCAAAGCGTTTCTCACCACTGCCGATGCTTTAATCAATTCCCAACGAACCCTGAACGGCCTGGAACACCACGCCGATGGCTCACTTGTACTCCCTTTTATGGCTGATGGGCAGACCCAGATTACCTTCCCAGATATCTCATGGACAGAAGATATGTACGATTTTAACATGGACAGTGCTGATATTTCTGTTTTCTTGAATGATTTCCTGGGAACGAACAGGCCCGGGACAGATATTCTCCGCCTAAACCTCACGTAACCACTTAAGATTTGAAAGCTCCATGCCCCGCTCAAAAGGTGTGGCTACAAGCAAACCCTGGGATGAAATCAGGCCCCACGGACTAGTATTAGACCAGGATGCAAAATCTACGATTTCAAGCGTATGAACATCCTAAAAAACCCTGGATTCAATTTCTGTGGACAACGATATATAGCTTCACGTCCGATGCATTAATATATTTTGCTATTTTCTTTTTGGGACCTTTCAAAGTCATCAATGGTATGTGTGCAACTTTATATAGAATTCTTTAATTAACGTTTAATACAGAATATAAAATGAGCCAGGCAACCGAGGTCAAGAAGCAATCCTGAAATTGCCTTCGGTTCTCCTGTGCGTGGCTTCTCTATGGGAAAGTTAAGTGGATATAATGGGACACCATCACCCATATTCAGTTCAGGACAGGGCAAAAAGCCATTCAGATGACATACTTCCCGTGGAATTAGCTTAGGTTAATGCACAACAAAGCTTTGGGTTACTTACCGGAATGAAAAGATATGGAACTCTGCGTTCATACTCTTCCCAAGCTGCACCATACTTTATCCGGCAGCGATGGATATCCCTTCGAGCCCGATGGATTATCATCACGGTAAAAAATACTGGATAGAACCAGGGGAAAGGCGATGTAAACCCGGTGATTAAGCCCCAGCAACCGGCAAAATAAAAGTCACATGTGTAATGCACCTTGCGCGCCAGTCCGACTGTTGAGGAATTCGCGAGTGAGTTGAATCCGCTCGTGCAAAAAGGGTGGGGAAAGGGAGAAAGACACTTACACCATCCACTGCACAAAATAGAATCTCCTGTTTCGGTGCGGATACATTCCGGGTTTTTAGCGACTTTCCAGGGGAGCTGTGGGAATGTTTTGCGATCCACCATGAAACCATGTTCCTGCGCCCGGAACATATTCTTCTGACTATTACTTGTATCCCACACCCAATAAGCAAAGACATACGAAACGTAAAGGAATGCCAACGCCCAAGGGCTCCAATGATAAGTCGACGGATGGTTCCTATCCAGGTATAGGGTGCAGTGGCAGTATGTCATTGGTACACCGGCCATATTCCAGAAGATAAGGAGGAAGCCAAGTTTCTCATAGTACATGTCCCTGGCTAGATGTTAGCGGTCTGGAGGAGCTATAATTACATAGAAAACCGCGGGTGAAAGCATACCAGCTGGTGATGATGAGTTCTTCTGCCTTTGCGCATGCATTGGCGTAAAGGAAATGCGCCATGAGGAGGAAGCAGACCTCCCCAGAAACATAACCGAGCTGTTCAAACTGTCTAAAGGCCGCCCCCAGTGTAAAAAGGAAGAGCAAATACCACGGGATACGGACTTCGAGGAACATTTTGATATCCAACAATCCAAACATACGCGGATTAAGCTCCGCGCCCATAAAGAAGTCATAGATAGCGGACCCAGTCATGCGATGTTGTACACCTCTCACAATGGCCGAGAAATACGCTACAAAGGAGCACAGAAGCCCAGAGCAGATCGCCACGCTCATCAAGGGTCCGAATTCGTCGATGAGCGTATATAACTTAAAGACACCGGATACATGCAATCCCACAGCCACGGCAATTGTCAGGTACCATGCCCATAGAGCTGAGCAGTAGTAGTCAAGCTGCTTGCCGCCCACGTGGGCCAGTCGCTTTCCCTTGCCATATACACCGGGGAGCAGAAGATAACCAGCGCCTTCGAGCACCATCATTGTCCAATATATTATCCAGGCTCTCCGATGCGGGAAAGCATGAGTGTATGCCAGATCCACTAGGTGCACGAGGAACTCTGAGAAGCTTTGGCCCTCTTCTCGAGTGGGAAATTTGCCGTCGTAAAACGTCGCCCCGATATACATATAGTACATGATCAATGGGGATCCAATAATTATAACACACGCACCCAACACACCCCCGAACTCAAACTCGGCCTCATCATCCGTTGATGTCTGCTTGGCTATTGCTGTTGTGTTTTTTGGGTGGATGGCATTAGTTTCCTTTTTGCGCTGGCGGACGTCACTACATTGCCATTCAAAGTTAGGATGTGCTTGATGTTTTGTCTACATCTGCGATGTGGAATTCCATTGTAGATAGGGAAATGGCTAGGTACGACAAAAAAAGGGGGGCTGTCGAGTGCATCGTCGCTTACCTCCTAGCCTCTTGTCCCGCCATACTTTGACTAGCCCGGCGAAATATACGCACAAGATCCGACTCTTCTGTTCAAATCTGCGTCAGAGATAAAAAGGAATTGGTTTCACACTTCAAGATGCTCGGCAAATGCAATATATATAGAGAGAGAGAGAGAGCTTGTGGTATTTATCTGGAGAATTGCATCTGTTGCTGGGCGACCGCGGACACCGTGGATGCCGTGGACCCCGTTCACTGCAGAATGGTGTAGCCTCCAGCATGTACGGATACGGAGTATATAATCCAACGATATTATGGCCTCAGCAGGGGCTCATCCGCATGGCATGGAACACAGTCGCGCGAACTCCACGGGTTCTTCTCGTGGGCTGGAGAGTCTGGAAAATGAACGGTGTCTACTCCCCAGCCAGATTCGCTTGGCGCCGATTGAAAATCCCTGTGTGTTCAGCAACAACAATAATAGTAATGAGTGACAGACCATTGACAGGCCATTTTCAAACCTAACGGCAATTCACGCGGGAAGGACATACATATATATCCTCCTCAGCAACGGGAGATCCATTGGTCTCCTCTGTGTTTTGGCGCAAAAAAGAGGACCGCGATTGGATCTCCTACCATTGTATGAAGCCTTGACATCGAGGAGACTCAGAGCTGCCAAAACCATTTCTGTGGCCCGGATCGTCGCAAAGGCTTGGGTATGACCAGATTTCGAACCGGACCAAGGTTTGATGAGTTTTGGGAGAGGGGAGAGGCTGCGATTTCTGCGGCTGCAAAATTCCTTTGCATCTTCGATGCAGAACGCCTGTTCACAAAACAAGTTTGATGCGCGCTGCCTCCGCCATGCCATAAGGAGATGAGATCGCGATAAAACAGAGAGAGAAATGGGAAAGACAAAGGCGCCATGATGGGAGAGTATCATGAAATGGGGGCACTTGCACTTGTCCAGCGTTGACTGTTTGGCGCTCATTTGCGTCAATTGCATTTTCTGTACCACGGATCAAACCAGAACTCTGGGGACAAGCCACAAAGCGGTATATCCCCACCATTTGCCAGGGAGGATGGAATAACTTGGTCTCCAATCCGCAGAGGCGGCATACAATTGAAACACGATAATATATATTTATAAAATGCCGAGATGCATGCACTCACGATCCCGTATGGAATAGCATCAGGGGGGAAAGTGTTTTTGTACACCGCAGATGCCCCGTTAATAAGTATATCCAGAATTTCAGGCAGCTGATAATGTGATCCATCTGAGGGCAGTGCGCCGCAATTCTCACAAATCGTACAGATTAAGCGAGACGCGGATTGGAAGAACTGGAAGATTGAAGGGTTTATATGGGCCAGCCATTGCGCGAAGAATAACCATTGTTTAGCAGCGTTGAAATAGTGTCCTTCAGGACACCCGCCCGCTGATGGCTCGATGCCTCCATTTTGAGCATCACAACAGAGAAAGAGGAGAAGGAAGGGAAAAAAAGAAGCAACCATGGCGCAAAACTACTTCCTGCATTTTGAGTGCATAGCAAAAAGGTTGGATCAGAGGCTTGAGCCAGTCCTTGCAAGATGCGAGTCTCAATACCAGAGTCCTCACGGGTGGAAGTTATGGGGCCTGATGCCTAACCTGACAGCCAAGCTTTAGGCCTCAGGCCTCTAAACCGACCCCGAGTATTTAGGGGGCTTGGCAGTTGATGTATCCGTATAAATTTCTAGTCTGCCCAAGGACCTATTTCCAAGCTATTGAAGTTCCCATTGCTGAAAAAAGGATCGGAGGTTGCCATCGGGCTCTTCGTCTACTACGTAGAAGCTACTGCTACATTGTATAACATCATACGATCCCTCAGAGTTGTCTATTTGAGTAGAGATACTGGTATGCATTTTCTGAGTTAACTGCTCCCCTATTGGTGACTCTAGCGAATTTAATAATTTTCTATAACTAACTTATACATATCAGATAACTAAATGGTGCACGAAGGTGGCCCTAGGGAGGTTTTAAAGAAATTTAGAATCGGACCCTGATTAGCAGCGCTTTAAGATGATTAGCTTCCCGTGGCTTGGCGGCCGCTGCGCTAGCTCCAACAGCTTTTCGGCTTCATCATGACACAGCACGTCATCGTAAAACAACAAACTTTTGCAACATGCGTTTGTCTTGCGACAGCCCAAAATCCAGGGACCTGTAAATTCTCGAGAGAATATCCGCGCAAAAGGTAGATTTTTTGAAATGGTGGTTTTAAAACGGGTTAAACATGCTTTTCAGGGTGAGCGAACTTTCATCAACTTTCATCGTGCGCGGCCATTTTAAACCATATGCAAGCAAGCTTACAGTTGCAGCAGTGACGCGAATATTGTGAGCTCCAAAATCGAGATGACCGCATCCATGGATAAGAGTGATATATATATATATATATATATAAAGAAGTAAAAGAGGCCCCGCTGGAAGAACCGTGGTTACGCTGGCAGCAGCATGCCGAAACTCCCTTGCGCCGAACTGATTCGGCGTTAAATGCCTTCGCCCTGAATCTCTACCTCTTGAAACTGAAGGGGGAAAGCCCCTACCTTATCAAGTTGCTCGTTAGGAAACGAATATGGACCACATGGCTCCCGAAAATGGAACCCAACCTTAAACCGAATGCCTTGGTTTAATTGCCAAAGATTGACCGAGGTTGGGTACGTTTCAATCCAGGCCACGCTTCCAACCTCCCGAAAGAGAGAGACCCAATTTCCAGAATTGGACACGGCAAACTGGAAACAATCCACAAGTCAGCTATATCTGGACATCGATGATGATAAAATGGAACAAATTTTCCCAGATAACCATTAACTGACCCCAAAGAAGCTTGGTATCACTTCTGCGTCGGAACGAGAGGAAGGTCCTCAAGAAAATTCACCCCATATTCTGTACGGAAGCAAACGAACCCATTAGATAAATTTCCAACCACCGCAACCCCAGCTAGGCTCCGGGGTGGTAGGTCTTTTGCTTGCCACATACCTTCAATATCCAGCTCGGTCTGTGACGGATAAACACTGCACTGTTGTCATTCGGCCCTCTGTTTTGATTTTTCTTCCTTACTAATCAATATGATTTATGATTTCCTTTTCTCTCAGCCCCCTGCTCAATGACTCCAAATTTATTAGTGTAGCCTGTCCTCACCCGCCAGCTTGGGCAGAGTGGAGAAAAACAAAAAACAGCGCAGCTTTGCGGTTACATCCGTTCACTGTGTATACGGACAAACATCTATACAAACACCTATACCGGGGAGAACAGATCAAGTTCTGAGCCGGGAGTTCTCTTTATGTGGCAATTGATTTCAGAGGATCTTAAAATAGTAATTGCTGGGAGGAGTTTGAGAGATTTCAAAAGAGCAATGAGGAAAACTCCGTACCCGCACCTGGAAAACAAGATCTAACTTAAATCATACACTTTCCAGTACCTAGGCAACTTCAGCAAAGGTTCGTTCGCATCGAGGATCATTGCCTGTGCGAGGTCAACGAAGTTCGTTTAACTTTTAACAAACTTAGGTGCACTGCACCATACACTGGTTGTGCAGCTTGCCAAAGGAAAAGATCCACGGATTCACGTACCTTCGATTGTATCTACCACCCATGTCCCATACACACGGGAAAATCCTAAATAAAAATACTCAGCACACATCACAAAATATTATCATATCAATCCCAAGCCCAAAATACCCTTTTGACCAAGCAACCATTAACCCCTTAAAACTTTTTGCCCAGCCAAATCACCTGGCAGTGATTAATTTGCGCAGGATCTATGCAGATAAAAGCCATCTCGCCGCCCCCTCCCCCCCCAAACCACTGATCTGAAAGTTTTTCCTTCCGGATTTTTACCGAAATCAACTTACCAGTGGCGGCCATCCATGGATGCATGTAAGAGGTATACGGAAGGTATACCGTGGAAGTTCAAAGGTACTGAGGGCCCGCGTGCGCATGAGCAAGCATTCATCTGCAATTCGGCCGCGTCATGTAGACTGAGGGGTAGTATATATCTACATCCCCGGACGTTGTTAAAATGACTGAGGGAAACGAATCGAATATGTCCAAATAGTCATGCTATGTAAACAACACAGCTTGTTTGTCGGGGACGGAAAGCTTTCCGCCACAGAAGGTCGAGATTCAAACACCACCAAACGATCCGTCAAATATGTTAACGAGTAATGAAACCTGATACCAAAGTACGAGATGTTCCCAAACCCAATCCAACGGAAAAGGGAACAGGTAAATTCGCCTTCTGCCAGTGCTGACGTAGATGGCCGGGGCGCAGTACCATGATCCGGAGTGCATCCGTAGATTGATATATAGTTTCGAGGTCCAGCTGCGGGCCACAAAATCCAATTAACATCCCATGGATATAAACAAACGAACAACAAAAATCCCCAGCCAAGGCCAACCTGTTTGATGAATTAAAAGACTCCTCAGACTGAACCTGGAAGTTTCAATTTCCCCTGGCATCTTCAAATATTTTTAGTTTCAAGCCCTTAGGCATTGAGCGTGGTACTGGTAATGTTAGGGTTTTCTTCTGTCCTTTTCCATTCCCGCCTGCCCGCCCCATAAACCGCTCAATTGTTGATGGAATAAACCAGCGATGATATAAGAAGATCTTTGGAATCCCTAGATTCAAGCTTGATATTCTTAGTTCTTATAAAATCCTTTGTCTTCCTATAAAAAATTAAAATTAAAATTAAAATATAACTAGAATAACGATAAATAAACGGGTCAAGATATAAATGCATAAAAAAAAAAAAAAAAAAAAAAAACAGAACTAGGAGCAAATCTTATTTACGTTGAACTTGCTCAAATTACAAGCATTCATTCCATGGCTTGAAATGGTCTGAAGCCTGTAGGTTTTGTACCTGAGGCGTGTCGACAAACGGGGTGACTCCTGACTTTGATGATGATTATATCGTTTCCCGGCAGCCTGATGAGGCTTGCTCGTTGATCGTTTGTGCGTAGATGAGCCCCCTCGCCTCTATATTTTTAAACAATCTAGACGGTTCAGACGGTTGAGAATGGCGTAGAGCGGTCCCGGTGGGGCAAAGTGGAGGAGTGCGCTATTTTGGCGGAGAAAGACCAACTTTCAACGGTTTCTTCCCCTTGACGAAGTGGTTTGCTTCTTTGGTGTCTTGAGTGGCGAGATGTGGGAGGCTTTCTTCCTTGTTCTTTTTCTGTGGGCCCGCTGATTTTGTTTTTAATAACAAACAGGAGTCGAGTTGAGATCATGGTTATTAGGAGGCCGGGGGGGGGGGGGGGGGGTAATTGGATATAGTGAGGTGAGCAGATCAGTAAAGCCTTCAAGGGCGTTGATGACAGAACTGAAGGATCTTTAACTACTTGAACAAATTCCATAAGTTTTATGAGTGACTCGGGCTGAAAGCTCCTTTGTCATTTTCATCCAAAGCGAGCAACCTCTGCACTTATGGGGGTCAAAGTTGGCCCCGTCTCCTTTTTTCTAAAAAAAAAAAAAAAGAAAAAAGATTGAGAACTGAGAAGAAGCAGGTTACTTGATTGAAGAGATTGGTTTCAATCAGCTATCCTGGCAGTAAACCGATTTTATCAATGATATTCATGAAGTGATATCCAGGAGGAGCATTAGGGAGTTTAAGAAGAGAGAAAAAGAGAGTGCGTAGGAACGACACTCTCCATACCGGCCAACACCAAACACCAAAAAAGTTTTGATAGGAGAACCCTATATATGCACAATACCTGCAGTCAGAAGCGCATGCCCTTGGCCTCAAGCTTGTAGCAGACAGGCTCGATAAGAGCAGGGTACAGGGTACATGGCGCAGGGTGCGCTAAAGTCACCCTTCGAACTCCGCAGGATGGCGGGAGAAGATAGGACAGTAAATTTCCGCAGAAGTCGCCCCGCACCTCCCCCTCTCTGCCCCCCTCCCCTTGGCACCGAGAGGATGATAAGGAAAGAACATACTTCTTTTTCACTACGGGGTACGGGATGGGACATATTGAGTAATGCTACCCCCTTGAGAGTGCTGGCCGTTAAGCACCGTAAATCGACGATCAATTTGTCGCGGGTCTGTGGTGATTGAACAAGCCAGTGAAACCCACTGAGAAAGGATTGAAGATTAGAATACAGATGTAGCACGCTACGTAAATACATGTGATAACCATAAGGATGAGAACGAGTTACTAGTTAATGATGATAAGATACCGTCATAGGAGACCCTGCGGAAGGAAAGCTCGAATGATTGGGAAACCTGAAACTTAAATATTATGTGGATGGGGAGCAGAACATGTCAAGGAACTAAAAAAGCAAAACAACGAAAAAGAACAAAGGAGGGAAAAATCCTTCCGCGAAAGAAAGAAGCAGGAGGAAGGGCCTAAAATTAAACCGAACATTGCTGTTGATGTGTGGCTGTCTCTCCTTTTCTTCTTTGTTTGACAGACACAGATCTCAGAAAGTTGAACTCCGCCGTGTCTCCTCCGTCCTCTGAATGGGAACTCCCAAGCTACGGCGTAAGGGCTAGGCACTCTCCCCCACTACTTCTTTCTCGCTTCCTACAAGCCGGGATCCCCGGCCGAAACGAGGGGATAAACCCTGTTGGCTTGCTAAGAGTGCCCAGTTAACGGCTGGCTGGCAAATCACCACGGGTTGGGTTAGCAAGAGGACTTAAATGCGTATTATTGCTACGTATTGCTGCGTATTGAGCGAGGGGAGCTGGTGCAAAGTTTGTAAGCCTGTGTCGTTGATTAGCAGCACGCCATGCCGGATGAGTCTTCGACTGGACACAGCAGATTTTTCGAGCTCGTAGGTGGCTTGGGTGCTGGGTTGCTAGGCTCTGCTCGGCTGGTGGATGATACAACACTATGAGTCGTCATGACCCGCACTGGGGCTCGCTTGAATTTTGAGCCGGCGCTAGGAGAGCCAGGATGCGGGCGAGGACGAATCAGGAGAGCAGAAGTGCGGGATGGTGGACGCTTTGGAGAGACCGGCCTGCGGGTGGTGTGTTCCGGCATACAGTTTAGTGTCGAAGGAGCGGATGGGAGACTTTTGACAACGGCTCAACTGGGATATCGAGTTGCTGAGTTACTGCTGGATGCGAGTTCATTTTTGCGCTTGGTATTTCACTACTCCTGTTCTCAAACAGCCTGAGCATTAATTAGTTAGTTGGCACATCAGACATCAGAGCCTTTGAAAGTGCTCAAATCTTGGAGTTTTCAACATTGGTTCCATTGAATCGCAAGGGGATTTATTTATTTCCTCTGGCGTGGAATTCATTTTTGTGTTTTCTTCAATTTTCCGGTTTTTTTTTTACTTTCTTTCCTTTTTTCCATCTTTTTGCGTCTCTGGCCAATAATCACAAAGCAACCAGAGTATGGAACGCATCCATCACTTTTGTTCGGGCTTTGAATGACGCCTGTCAAGTGTGCCCGAACAAGTCCTGGACAGGCTGGGAGATATGGAGGGACTGAGAAGGTATTGTTCCAAGGGGAGAGAAAAGCCAGAATCCGAGTCCCTTTTTTCATTTGTTTGTCGTAAATTTCTCACCTTTACATCGTAAATAAAATATTACACGTACTATGTAGCAAAGTGCAAAGTGCGCTCAAGGATTCGGCGACCAGCGGGACAGAAAGGGCATAGTGAACACCGACAAGGACACCTCCGGCTGCTAATGCTGAGCTGGTTGGGGGTGTTGGTTGGGTTTCGGCGCTGCACGGTTGGACGAGACAGACGGACGATGGTTGAGGGTGGGTTGAAAGGAACTGAGTTGACCGTAGCATCGACCCCGTTTGAAAGGGAGTGAGTGAGTGAGTTACAACGCAGGACACAGGACACAGAACGCAGCAGCAGGACGCAGCAGCAGGACGCAGCAGCACGAACTGGAAGTCAACAATCAACAGCGCATCTTGAAATTGTCAGCTATCCCGTCCGATCTTGTCTGGCCCTCCCCAACAGGCCCTGACCCTAACCCTAATCCCCATCCGGCCCAGCAGTGGAAGCCAGGCTCGCTTTTCCCAACCCAGATTCGACGCTTGATGTGACCATGCTCGGCTGGCCTGTGTCACGACATCTTGGACCCGGGGCCCTGGGACGAGTACAGGAAGTGTGGCCCCGAGCAGCCGAACCCAGGATCCCAGGAGTCAGCCTGCTGGAAGGCCACTGGCCACTGGCCAGATATCTTGGAAACGTGGTTGATGGGAGAGGACGTCTCACATTTTCGACCTGTCTGTAATTTATTTTATGCTTTTCCCCGTACCTGGTTGATACGCACCCCAGTCCTTCAGTCCTCCACCTCCTTGTCATGGCGATATATATGGAACGGATGATACAACAAACACACTGCTGCTTGCTGCTCCTGCTACTACTCCAACGTCATAACGGC